TTTCACCAAGACTCCTAGAATTAGAAGCCAAGTTCAATAATGTAGCAGGATAAAAAGTAAACACATTCACAAAATAATAGGATTCCTATATGCTAATAACTATCTCACTTAGAAAGAAATTAGGAAGACAATACCATTCACAATAACATCAAGAAGAAATAGATGCTTAGGAATTAACAACAACAACAAAAAAAATTAAAGATGTTAACAACAAAAATTACATCACTCTCCAAAAGCAGATTGAAGAGGACATCAGAAAATGGAAAAATGTTCCATATTCCTAGAGAAGCAGTATTAATATATTCAAATAACTATACAGCCAAAATGATATACATAATTCATACACAATCCCAATCAATATACTAAAAATATTTTTCACATATCTAATGAAAACAATCTGAAAAATCATAACGAATCAGAAGAACCCAAAATAGCTAAAGCAATTCTGGGTAACAGGAGCAAAGCAGGAAACATCACAATCCCAAATTTGAATATATATTACAAAGCTAAAGTGATAAAAACAATATGGTATTGGCACAGGAACAGAAAGTGAATCAGTGGAACAGAACAGAGGAAGCAGAAACAACCCATGACACATTCAACTATTTGATCTTTGACAAAGAGCCAAAAACATACACTGGAGAGAAGGGAGCCTCTTTATAAATGGTTCTTCAAAAATCAGATATCCACATGCAGAAGATTCAGTCTGGACCCATACATCACACTAAAGTAAAATCAAACTAGATGGAAGATCCAAATGTTAAAACACAAATAATCTGCTGGAAGGTAAAATAGGTAAAACATTTAAAGACATAAATATAAGTAAAGACTTTCAGAACATCAATGACACAAGAAATAATACTGCATATCAACAAATAGGATAATATCAAATTAAAATTCTTCTGCACATCACAGACAACAAATAACTAACAACTGACAGAAAAGACAACTGAGAGAAGAAATTCTGGCAGCAGTTCCTCAGACAAAGAACTATGCCTGGAATATATAAGGAACTCAAAACAATTAGCTTCCCCTTCATAAAAGACCTAATTTTTAAAAATGGGAAGCCAAAGTGAATAGACACTTGTCAGAAGGAGTATAGGTGGCCAGTACATCAGCTAAAAATGTTCATCACTGGCCACAAGAGACATGTAAATTAAAACTACCTTGAGATACCCATAAATAATGACTATCATCAAAACATGTAATAAAAACAATTGCTGTCAAAAAGAAACTATTTTACATTGTTGATTGGAATTTATACTAGTACGAACAAACACTGTGGAAATCAGTGTGGCGACTTCTCTAAAAATTGGCAATAGAAATTCACTAGCTATCCCCTTTTCGGTATCTTTTCAAAAGCATGAGTCATCATATTCCAGGGGTATATGCCTATGCATGTTTACATGGCACAATTTGCAATAGCTAGATCCTGGAAACACTGTTTGTTCATCAACAGATGAATGTATAATGAAAATATGTACACAATAGAGTACCACTCTGCCATAAGGAAATTTGAGATAAGCATAGACAAATGGATGCAACTTGAGAAAGTAATGTTGAGTGAAATAAGTCAGACAAACAAGCTTAAACATAGCATGATTTCCCATATATATGTATATATGTATCATACCATATATATGTATATATGTATGTATATGATTTCATATATATATATATTTCACATATATATGTGGCTCATATATAAGAATGAGCTGTTATCTGTTTGTTTCTTTTTTGTAAAGGATTTTAGTCTATAATTCATAGTCTAGGTAACATTTTGACCATTGTTTTAAGATCATTATACATAATATATTAATGATTGTTATTGTCCAAAATTTCATTGTGAAACTTTTTCATAGCTATAAGAAGAGTGCTTTTTAAAAATTTTCCTTTTTAATATCTACATTAATATATTGCATTAATATATTGCACTGGCAAATTTAGTAAATAAATCCAGATCATTTTCATATCTTAAATGGATTAAAAGACAGAAAAAAGTCAGAAAAGAAGAAAAGGGTCATGAAATTGTTTAAATTTGTATCTAGTTTGCATTTCTGCATGTTTCCATACCAGTACTCTTGGTTTACTAAGTTTGAATAATATGAACAAATTTAGAATGAAATACCTGAGGGTACAAGTTTTTCTAAGATAAATCTGTTGTTAGAGAGATTGGTTTTATGATAATATAGGTCATTCTCTCATTATTTTAAGAGAATTTAAAGGCAGTGACAGTGATTGAAAATATAATAAAAAGAAGAGAAATGGATATGTTGTATTTGGAAGAAATGTGTGCAACTTAATGATAATCTGAGATCATTCAGTAAGGCACATTAGATTTCTTTAGTGCTTGAGCTGTGTTAGAGTTAGTGAAGTCTTTCCTGCAGTTCTATACTCCCCCTCCTCTCTGTGTGGAACAACTAAGTGTATCTTCTTTCTGCAAATTTATGATTTTAGTGCAAGAATTCCAAACATTACCTCCACATTAAATATTTTTTTAATATGAGGTTTAAATATTTTATTGAGAGGTATAGTTGTTTCTTGCTCTGTAGAAAGTTTAGCATTATCTATAGCCTCCTAAAACATTATTGAACTGTACTCAAAAGATGGCAATATCCAGATATACTCAACAGTTGTGATAATCAAAATATCTCTGGAAATTCTCAAATGTCCTTTAGAGGACAAAGTGTTCCACACTGGGGATTGTACTATTTACATGTGTTTTTCTCTGTATATTTATCTTATTTATATGCATTTTCTCTCTGTGTTTCTCTCTCTCTTTCTTTCTCTCTCTCTCTCTGTCTCTCTCTCTCTCTCTGTCTATCTGTCTCTCTCTCCATGTAAACTCTGTTGTTCTCAACTAGTGCCAAAGGGAACATCAGTATGCTGATATAAGTAGAGATTCCAGGCCTGTGCCCTGAATTATTACATCCCCATATGAATTTTAAGCAAGAGCTACAAGGATTTCACTTGTACATTAAATATTGAGAACACTGACCTGTCGTATACCAAGAGCCTGGTACCTATTCTATTCCAGTGCAGTCTCTAACATCTCTAGTCCACTTGACTGATTGCTGTCAGATTAATGACTAGTAACTCTTCAGTGCCAACAGAATACAATTGAAACTGTTTTTTCTACCTTACTTTTGCAGATTTCCATAGTTAGGATCCCAAATAAGTTTTTAGTATTTTTCCATAAATATCTCACTCAATATATCAAAATTCCAAAGAATTCTATTAGTGCCTTGCATACTCTATAATATGCTAGTGAAACAGCATCCACAATTGAAGGCACTCTAGCAAAAGTAATACCTCTTCCATACAACTGTGACTTGCTGCGTACTTAAACTCTTCTCCCTGTACCATACATACTTATTTTGTCCATGTGTATAGCAGAAGATAAAATTGTGCTGAAGTCAAATTGAAAGGCTATTACTCTGTCAGGGAATGAAATTCTTAGCAAGGTAACAAGCTTCCTCATAATTCAACTTCATATTTATTAATGAGTTTGCTGTAAGTATTTTAATCAAGAGTTATTTTGACATTTAAAAAAGAAATGCACTGAAGAGCTAACATACTAAGAGCACAAAACAATTACGGGACATTGATATCAATAATGATAGTGACAAAATTAGTAAAATAATTCACATGCTTTTAAAAAATTGATATATAAGATGTAAAATAAAAGTAATGGATTTTGTACTGTCCATTCAGTTCTTCAACAGCAGAGATCACCGTTAAATATTAATATTTAACCACCAATGGAATATTAATTTAAAAATGTCTAATGCATTCTTGTATCTTTATTTATTATTTATATGAATTTTTCAGCAAATGGTGTAAGAAGTTAATAAATCTCTGGTGTGGAATGAATTTAAGTACATGCTTAAAATTTACTACCACATCACTCGAATCTCAAGATCAGAATTTATGTCCAGTTGTTTTCTGATTTCAACAGCAACCAAAAGAGTTCCTGAATATAATACAGACTTAAAAAATACTTGTTGAATATATGAATGACTGATCAGATGAGTATAGAAAGGAATTTAAATTAATGGATGCTCAAAACCTAAAGAGTGACTTTATCCCAGATAAATCAGTGCATTTATGTTTATTTCTCACTATTTACTACTTCCAGTGATGAGAAAGATGTTTTTGCTACAGCTAGGTAGCTTATGTTACAAACTTGACAAAATATTTTTCTCTTGCCATCTGCTTTCCCATTTACCACAAATGGAAATGTATTATTCCAGCATAAACAGTCATCTTAGATGAGAGCTATTTGCATCCCCAAATGTTCCTCTCCTGTTATGGATCCAAAGTAAATCACCTTCCTCTAAAGATGTACGCATTATAGATAATATGTCATAATTATTTTCATCACCAAGAATCACTTGCTATTTGCCAGCTGATAGGATACTATTTAACTTTTCCCCGTTGGAAATGTCAGTCAGCATTTGCTCTAGCATTATGTGAAACTACATAATGACTTTCTATTAAAGACAGATAATTTTGAGGTCTGCTTCAAAATGTGTCATTATTTTCATTTTTAAAAAGCTAAGCACATTGTTGTTTTCAAGAACTGGTGATGGAACCCGCTTCTTAGATGTAAAAAAATGCCCGTAATTATTCTACTTATCTCAGGAATAAAGCTATTTTCTATAGTTGTGTTTAGCACCTGTATTCAGTTTCATATTCTTTCTGGGCATTAAATAAATTATATTCACAGAGCTAAAGATTTTTAGCCTCATCACTACAAACAGATGGCTTCTAAAGGGAAACTCAGACACTCCTTGGTTTCATCTCTAAATCAGTGGCTGTTTTCTCCTCAGGAGGTATTACCTGGGACCAATTGTGTAGGAAAAAGGTAAAACACAAGGGTTTCCTTCCCTTTTTGCCCACATTAACTCTAAACTCAATTGTGCCAATCATAATAATTTTTGTTTTTAAATTCTCCTATATTCTATATGTATCTGCCTAGTTTTACTGCTCACACTTTCTGCATTGCAATATTTTCTTCTTTTGGCTTCCAACACAGCAGGTGCTCCTAAGGCGTTTCTTTATCCCCGTTGCTGGGCTTCTTTACTCGTTAGCCTTTAGCTCCTCATCTTCTCGTTACCCTGCCGCAGTTCTTAGATCACCTCTTCTTTCTGTCAACAGACAAATAAACACAGTGATGACTTTCAAGCTTATACCTTGAACTTGTGTTTCTATGCTGAACTGTAAATACTTGAATACAATTTTCCACCCTCCACCCACACCAGAGTTTGCAAGAAGTCTTCTAAAGTGAACATGTCAAAACTGAGTTCCTGATCTTCCCTGTAAATCCTGTTTTCACAACGTTTCAATCTCACTGCAAGGTAAATCCATCCAAAAGTAAAGAAATAATTTTTGACTGTTGTCCTTTTTTCTTTATTTCTCATCCCATGCCCAGTCACTTTTAATCTCGTGCCCCCACTTATTTATCTTGCTGCATGTTTACCACCATGCTTTCTATGTAGGGTCTCAGCTATCCTTCAGGTGCAAACCCCCATCATTCTTGCCAATTCTATTATTGAAATAGACACTACTTGTCTCTTGTGTCTGCCTCCTTTCACTTTTACCTACTCTTAATGAGCCAGGTAGAGTAATTATTCTTCAAGGGAGGAAGCCATGCCAGATAATGTCATAGAACTGCTTATACTGAATAAAGATCTCAATCTCATACAAAGGAAATTACTACAGTGATCTTTTGCCAGAAACTATGCACATACGTGGGTCCCAGCAGGTCTTCTCAGAGAAACTCTGCCTTAGCTGCCAATGTAAGAGAACATTATAAACCTCTTCTTGCCTCCAGATTTATTACCTCCAAGACACTTACTGCTATCAAATCGACCGCCCATGGTTCTCAAAAGCAGCAGTAGCTTCTTCACTTGAGAACTTGTTAGAAATGAAAATTCTCAGCCTTGAGGTCCTGCTCATTGAATCAGAAATGCAGAGACTGGAGGCCAACCATGCTTTTTTTAACGAGCTTTTCCGGTGATTCTGATGCATGTTGACTTTTAAGAACTACTGCATTATAATATGTTTTATTCATTTACTTTACTATACTTATTATAATATTTCTTACATATTATATTAATATGTGAGATTTTAATAGAATGCATACTTATATATAGTAATCATATATATTTACATATTTCTTTAAAACTAAATGCAGTATTATGGAGAATAAATTCTGCTTTTATGCATTTTGTTTTGTTTTCCTTTTTTTTTTTTTTTGCTGCTTCTCCCAAAACATCTACAACAGTAGCTGGGCTGCTGTATGAGTTGTACAAATCTGGCTAACTGAATGAGTGAGAGCAGAACTTTATATCTCCATGTCCTTGCCCCCCAAATTCCTTCAGTCTACATTGTTCTTTCATTCTTTGGCTGATTTACTTGGGCTGATTTTTCCAGACTTATGTGACATCCATGTCCTCCTTAAAACTCTATTATTTTCCATCTGAAGCTCAATCTTGAATGGGTATTTTGCTCTTTGCCTATATTTTGTGTTATTTATGACATCACATGTATTAAATTTTCTGTTTAAATGTATTCTTTTTTAACTACAAAATGAGTTTTTGTGGACATACTTCCTTTTTCCAAACCTAGAGTTTACCACAATATAGAATACAGGGTTGGGGGCTGGGGATTTAGCTCAGCGGCAAAAACGCTTGCCTGGCAAGCGCAAGGTCGTGAGTTCAGTTCCCGGTACCGGAGAAAAACCAAAAAAAAAAAAAAATACAGGGTTGGCCCTCAACCAGTATTTCTGAAATTACTGAATTCAATATGGGACATTGTTATGAAGCAGTGCTACAACTGAACACATATCCAATTAAGAACAACTATTTGACTGTTGGATAAATACCTGGTGTCAAGAAGCTCAATTTTAAAAAAGAAGCCAGGTTTTGTGAAGATCTAGTTTTAAACACCAGAAAGTATTTCTAAAACCAGGCAGCTACTTCCTCATTGCAAATCAATCCAGTTTTCTTGCTCTTAGCAGACAGGTGTTCAGACTCCGACATTTGAATGGAAACAAATGGGAAATCAACCCTTCGAGTTCCCCTTCTCAAGAGCAAACAAAGACTGCTGGCATCAGTGTTTCTCTTTTTGAGCTTTCCAGGTGACAGAATCTGATTGATCTGCTTCAGTTAGGGACTCAAACATGACCAAATAAAGTGTATGCCTAGAGATGTCATGTTAGAGAACACACGCTCTCACAATGGGAAAGAAAGTAGCAGGAAAATTAACACAACCTATTTAAACAAACACACACACACACATACACACACAGAGAGAAAAAAACAAAATGCAAGCGTACATCCATATATGGTATATAAGATTATATTTGAAATAATATTGAATACCACTAATTATCTTTAAAATTGTTATGTAACTGAAACAAATGAATCTTCTTATAATTTTAGTATGAATATAGCATTCTTCAGTTTGAATCAGTTTTAAAGGCTTGCAGAATTTCTCCATGAAGGAATCTGCACTACTTAAAACTTTCTAATTACCAAGCAAGTCAAAAAATGCTAACTGTTTCCTTTTCCTCTACAACTAATAAATGACATTTCATCAGAAGTGATTTCCAAAAGGTTTTGTTTCATGGAACAAACCCTGTTTGATTGTTGATTTTTCCTGGCTTAAGTGAGGGGCAGTGTCTGCTTTCAAATAGACTGCATCTTGTGCATGGGAATAGACTGAAGAGAAATGACTCTACCGTGTATAGATAAAGCTCTGCTTACTTTAAAAAGCAGCCAAATATATGCATCCATCATAACATTCTGATACTCCTGTGGGCAAATGACAAATCTCACACTGACGCGGACTTTGCAATCAGTCACACATGAAAACAATGGGCTTCTAATAACGATGTGCTTTTTAGATAAGAACCAGAAACTGGAGAAATTCCTTGGAGCATTTTCTAGTAGAATGCTACGTGAAACACCTTCACGGTGCTGGTGTTAGTATGTGGGCCAACAATGAGTCTGTAGAGTTCCTATAGTAGATAATGAGGGTCCTTCCATCTTTCTTTATAATACTGGACCTACTGAAACATCAGGTGTGAGGAAAGCGGGACAGCAATCACTTTTTCAACCTCTCTACTTGCATTCATATAGTTTTTCCGTTTAAACAATGTCCAGTTGCAGATGAGGAGCAGAATTGAAACTGTGTTTTCTTTCCTCCATACTTATGACAGCAGACTAGCAGCTTCCATAATACAAGAAATGAGATGAAGTAAAATATTTTAAAATGTATTTCAATTACTGGATTACTTTCTAGAACTGCCGCCTAGATAAAATAATGAATGAATTTAGAAAACTAAATAATAACTAGACTTTCAGTTGATTCATCTGGCCTTACATAGTATAATTTAAATAAGCACTATTGAATATGCGCATCTGGAGGAGAATCTGTTGCTTAGTTACTTTCCTTTTCTGTATTATCTATATAGGTTTTTCATAATGCTCTCTGGGACCAGGGGCTGTTACATAATTTCTTTTCCACATATAGTCTAACCCTGAGCCTGGTACACAGTGGGTCTTTGGTGAATGTTATTTTTTAAAAATATTTTTGAGGCAGAGTCTCACTGCAGTTCAGGCTGTCCTTGAGCACACTTTGTAGCCCAGGTTGGTCTCAAACTTGCAACAATCCTCTTGCCTCAGCCTCCTGAGTGCTAAGAATACAGGCGTGAGCCACCATGCTGTGCTGGTGAATGACACTTTAATGGAGTCATCTATTGTAGTATTGATTATCTAAAGCACACTCTTTGCACATGATAAATAATAGGAGATATTGCAATTTGGTCATTCTCTATGAATGAGCGTAAGGTTGACTGCTTCCTGGCTTTTGTTTTTCCAAAAAGAGAATATGATAAAGTAAACGAGTGGTAGACTGTTCCTTTATGTGTCAGTTCTTCTGACACTTTTTTGAGATCATTTCGGTCTAATGCAGTTCTTTTATTTCTTTTATAGATGCCGATGTTTTTAATAGGGGGGAAAAAAGACTCTCTTGAAGTCTATTTGGAGTTTTCTGCTTTTTCTCAGACTCTTTGATGTATTTCAAGCAACACAGCACTTAAAAAGTGCATTGTGTCCTCAACCACATTCCTCTCCCATTCGCCTTGTCAAACGAAAGAAAAAAAAGAGGCAAGTGTGGAGCCGATATTTAGTTCTCATTTCTCTTTTTTACACACCTTTTCACAGCCTCTCTGATGTAGTCACTCGTCCATCTCACACATGCGAGGGCTCTGAAAATTGTTCTCACTTTAAAACCTGTGATGAAACACACTTCACAGTCTGATGGGCTCTTTTTGTGCTTGAGAATATACTTTATTCGCTCACTAATTTTCCAGCAGGAAATAGTAAAGAGGTGACACAGAAGAGTGCAGACCCAACACTGCTCCAGACAGACTCCTTTTCTTCACCGCTAATTACAGCGGGTGATGCGCTCATCCTTCACACAACCCGCACTGGACAGCAGCTAGGTAATCTGTATGTATAAAATATTACACTGCAAATTTTATCATCTGAACCAGTTTAGAAACACAGTTTTTATTTTGAACCTAAGATTAACTTGTTTTCTAAGGGGTAAAATCAAAACAGGGTATCACAAATCCTTTCTAGGCTCAATGTCTCATCACTGTGAAGTCTCTTGAACTCTGCATGTCTGAGCACTCTTGACCTGCCTGTGGCCTTATAACTTTTTAGTTTCTTTTTGCCACAATTAATGTTTTTTCTCACTGATTATTATTTTCCAATTTATCTTTTACATACTCACTTTCAAAAATGACTCCCTCCCCCATATGTTGTATATGTATATCTTACTGGTTTTCTTGAAAACTCTGACTAAAAGATCTTAATTTTAGACAATATGTTAAACAAATAACAAACAAGAACATATGGATTTAATATTTATTTATTAACATTCCTGGAAGTATACTAGATTTATCTCTTGAAAATATTTTTGCAAATTACTTTTATAACTTTATATTAAAAGATCTGTTGGTATATAGAACTAAATTTTGTATTTAGTAATCCCTTTTTAACCTAGGTGATGCAGATGTACTCTATGGTGATGCCTAGGGAGTGATGCTGTGTTATAAATACCTTCTTTCTTACTGCAAATACGGTTGTGTGACTTGGCAAAAGTGATGGGAGAGCCCCAAGCATGCCTATGTGTCCTTGCGTTGCCATGTTGGAAGAGGGTATAGACATGGTCACATGGCATGAACCTAAGAATAGGCTCTGGATGCCCCAGGGTACATTTCTATGACAGCTGGCAAGGAACAGCCTCAGAAGATCTGCAGGAAGAGAGAAAGGGAGGAGAGAAGGGAGAGTAAGAATGAATAAGATGAGATATGTAATGTACCAATTTTCCAAGATGAATGTAATAACTATATATTGGAAACATATATTAATAAAAGTTTCTTTAAAAAGGAAACTGGAACCCAGTGCTTCAATCACAGAAAAACTAAATTCTATCAACAATTACAGGAGCCTAGAAAGTTATGACATGCATCTTGGCCATGTGTGTATCTCTTCCTTCTTTAAATCCTAACTATAGAAAGCAAAGTAGACTCCTGACACATACAAAGTTTTTTTTACAGTGGAATTTTAATGTAGCAAATACATGTAGTTTGAAGGCCCTCCATTTTTGTTAATTGTTATGAAGCAGTAGAAAATTTATAAGAAAAATGAAAGAAAATGAATACCGCAAATAATCTTTCTGAACATAATAGTGTTGTAATATTCCTTTTCTATTTTAAAGAGAAAACAAAATAAAAACAGTCAAGACAAAAAAAACCCCACAAAAATGATAAAAATGATTCAGAATTTCAAAACAAGGTGATACTGCTAAAACAATATTAAACATAAACAAGAATTTTAAAAAATATATTTTAAGATACTTTATAAGAAGAATTTAAGATGCAGTTTTTAAAATTAATTTGTTTCCTCATTTTAATTTAATTCAACCCCATGCAGTTTTTTGGGCAGTATTTATCAAACCTGTCAGTTACATGAGATGTGACTTCGAATATGTTTGAAGGAATTACTGTTCATCTTTTCTTTTTGGGGGAAAAAGACTGTTAGAAGTTGAGCATCCTTAGTTCAAAAATCTGAAATCTGAATTGCTACAATTTCCAAAATTTTTGAGCATCAACATGATGTCATAACTGACAAGTTACACATAATGAAACTTGTTGTATGCACAGATTTTTTAAAAATATTATATAAGGTAAACTTTAAGCTATGGGTTTATGGTATATATGTGAAATATAAATAAATTTTTGTCGAGACTTGTGTTCTATCCCAAAACTGTTTCATCATATATAGGCAAATATTAAAGATCCATAAGTAATTCTAAAATCTAAAACACTGCTGATCTCAAATAGGGCACACTCATTCTGTGATTTTTCTATCCCTCTCCAAGGAAACTACTGACACACATGGAACCGTATTTGTTTCTTTCTAAGAAATAAATACCATTTTACTGTAAGTAACTAAAATCTCCAAGTCCAAAATCACCTAAGAAATTGTTCTTGAGTATCCCACTAGCCAAGTGTATAAAATACTGTTTCCCACATGTATTGATTTAGAATTAGATGCAGTGATCCCAGGGAACAGAGATTCAGGATACACTTTAAGAAAAACTTCAACTTTTAAGTGTTATTGGACCACATATTGTACTGGCTAGAATTCTACAGAGGAACAGAAATGACAGAAAAATTCCCTAATATCAAGGGATTATTAGGTAGGGGCAGGGGAATCTACAGTGGTTCTTCGATTGGGGAGTTAGGCGATCCAGTAGCTGGTCGGGCGAAGCAGACAGACACCATGTATGTAGGATCTAGATTGAACCAAAATCAAACCTTGGAAGCTCCCTGGTAGTTGGCAGTGCAAGTTTATGCTGAGAGGCTGAAGAAAACGGAGACAAATGTCCAAGGCAATGGCAACAAAGACACACTCACTCAAGCAACATGAAGTGCTTCAAAAACAAGCACACTTTTTTTCTTTATTTTTAAAAATTCCATCTAGGCACTTAGGAAATGTATCGGTCACTCACAACTGTGGTAGGTCTTCAGCCCTCAGTTTGATGGGCTACCTGCCAATTATCTCTCAAAGCACTCAGACACACACACACAAAGCTGTGCTTTATTCATCTTAAGTGTATCTTCCTCCAGTCTAGTTGACATACAACAATTAATTGTTTCAATCCACCCCTCGTCAATTTGATAAGCAGACATAGTTCTTTAAATACTTAAGTCTCCAAATGCAAAACCAAGTACATAGTTATGCCTACCATGCTACGTTATCTTACTTACAAAAGGAAATGTACTAATTCCCTCCCCAGTTTATTCTTTAGATAATGCTTACTTTTCTGATATTGCATAATATAATCATAATAATGCAGAGTGAACAATACTTGAGTACTAATATTGTCAATCAATGTTATGTTATAAAGAAAGAAAACAAAATACCTGATACATATGCATATTAAGAAAATTGGAAAGAAATACTAATGAAAATTATAATCCTCATTTCTGTGACTTCTCATGCTATCACAACCAGTATTTTTGGCTACCTTCTTTTAGTACCCATTGTATATTCCCCTAGCCATCAGCAACACCTCAGCAGGTCTTAACTCCTTACTTGTGGAGTAATCCACACCTTCATTCCTCAAGGTTTAGGTCATTTTCCATAGTTCCTGGGTTAGTTTATTGAAGCTCCATGTTGACCTTACTAATAGGGCATAGTATTAGTAGGGGACTCACTAAGAGATGTCTTGAACGTCAGACATATACATTATTACCTCTGCTGTGAAGTAGTCATCCACGTTTACCTTGGTAGTCTGGATTAGTTACTCATGACAACATTGTAACTCTCTTTTTAGCTTGTTGACTCAGATGCATGAGAAATCCCAAATGAGATGGGTGGAGTCTTAGCTTCCTGTTCAAGAGAATTGTTTTGAGATCTCATCAATTTAGAAAGACACTTCCAGGAACCACTAAACAATCACTGGAATTTATCCTGAAGTTCTACTTCTCTACAACAATTCTCAGAACCAAAATTTCTATTAGTTAGGTTCTCTTAAGGAAACGGATAGAAAATACATGTATTGCACTGGGATTTATGAGGGAGGCTTACAGGAGCCAAAGCTGGAGAGACCACAAAGGCTGCCAGTGTGCAGGCGAGCTAGAAGATTCAGTAGCAACCCGGCTACACACAATAAGGGGTCAAGGATTTGGCACCAGTCTAAGGACAAAGGCCTGTAAGCTCACTGGAGCATTACAATACAGTGTGTTTTGAAAAGCTGAGGAAACTGGAGAATGAGAGATGATTGAGTCTCTCTCCCCAGCCCTTCCTCTCTGTGTGATCTTCTGTTGATAAGTCACTATCTGTGTCAATCCACAGAGGTGTGGTAGGCCACCCCACAGAAAAAGTGGTTTCGCTGTTGAGATTGGTGATCACACACACACACACATACACACGCATGGGGAGAATACGTACCGACATCATGAGGTTTTCTTAGGAGAGTCCAGCAGGACACTAAACAATTTCCTAGATGGCTTTGGAGAACCAGAAAGACTTACTACTTTTTTATTTTTTTGTATTCAAATGTGGGGTTGAAAATGAGCTTTCTTGTCTACATGTATAGGTCAGAACTTGTGGACTTGCACTATTATATAAATCACCTCAATGAGGGAAGTGCTGCAGATGAAGAGATAAAGGTTTTGGATGGGTCTTTCTG